TTCATTTACGCTAAAACAGCACAATTAACCAATAAAGTATCAAATATGAATATAACCTTAAGGCTATATTTAAACAAATAATAGGCACATTCACTAAATTTCTTAATGTGCTACTTCGCTATCATCGACGTCAAAGTCACGAAAGGCTGCGTATCATCAAAATTCAGAATACAAGAAAAACAATATCGTTTACTCAGCAATTACACAGAGCTGAAATAATTACAAAAAAATTAAAGATGAATATTATCCTGATTCGGCCAATCTTGACAATATTTTGCGCAATCCCGGTTCAGCCAAATCCAAAGGAGACTTCCTTTCCTACAAGAAGGAATAAAGCAAACGCCTAGTCATTAACCAACCAGTTAATTACACAGAAGAACTCGTAAAAATGCAAAAAGACGCATTTTATTGCAATAATGAACCGAAATGCCACCTAGGCGACTAAAAACAAAGAGACGTGCAGTACTGGCCTACAACCCGGTGTAATGATGTCCATTCACCCTAAATTACTGCGCTATCAGTGTAAAATAAAAAGTTTTAATTTCTTGTTACCCTTGCGGATTAATATGCATTACGTGGTGATAGCAATCATTTTGCTCCCGCCACATCTACGAGCATAAGGTAAGAAACGAAGCATGCATCACAAACTGGGTTCCACTAGGCCACAAATGTCCACTAACCCCGTCCAACACACTAGGACGATCCGATGGTAAAATTGCTTAGTCAGAGCTGCAGACAGAGAATGATGGAGGAGGTCGATTTGTGTTCAAGACGCTTGGTTAACGATGAAAAGTCGAATAATGGATGGACTTTAGAAAAGAGATATGGTCTGATCCAGTGACAACTGGTACTTATTTTTGAAAAAAAATATAATCGCAGTAAGCTGATCATCACCGAGGTGTAGATGTTAGACTGACAGGATATAAGATTCATCGCAACTGCTTTTGAACGAATAGATATTGTCACTTATGAGGAGTCAAGGGTATTTTTATTACTAAGTGAGTAAATATTTTTGGCAAACATGCAACTCATTTATTTTTCACGTGCTGAGTCACAAACAAAAACCTACAACGCAAGTATTGCAAACGGTTTTCAGGCGTCTTTAACCATTTACCGAAGGAAGCTGTATAAGTACCTTATTGAGTTTATCCAGGTATGCTCCACTCTTCACCAGCATTTTTGCCTCATCTCTTCGGTCTTCCTCACAAGCCAGATGTCTGAAACATAACGTCAACGCAAATAATTTAACACAACAATTTTACAGTGGTGTGTTTCCTTGCGCATCTGCTATGTTTACGTCACACCCGCAGTGTCCTAACAGCATGCTGACTATCGCCGTATTTCCCTTGGCGGACGCGCGATGAAGAGGTGTCGCCCCAAGCGAATCCCGCGCATTTACTTCCGCATTATGATCCATCAAAAGTTTTACAATCTGCACAGAAACTATTAGAATAAACATAAAAAATTAATGAGCAACTACGGTATCAACAGTAAACTAAAAATCAAGGCAGATTCTATATAAACAAATGGTTCCTTGAAGAAACTGCAAAGTCTGACCAGTAGTGAATTAGCAAAAAATGCATACAGAACTACAGATCGATTCTATTCAAACGAGTGCTAACAAGAGTCTTTTAAATCAATAACAGTAAGTACGACGGAAGTCGAAAACAGAAACTTTATTCAAAAACTTTGACATGTGGTTTTGAACAAAGTTTGGATTTCAAATTTCTTTGCGCTTTCAGAACATTTTCAATCAAGCCTCAAACCTCAGGATGATCTTGCGCAGCTAAGATTTTCTTTAAACTTCTACCCACTTACTTCCGTCTCAAATATACTGGACGTGAAAATTTACCGGAAAGTGGCGAAGATACAGAATATATTAAAAGGGTCGCGCTTACGACCAGTGTTCAAGTACAGAGTCAGACAGTTCAAGTACCGAGCAGTTCTGCAACCTGAGAAATTCTGAGAACACACAGGATACTACAGATCCGACGTACTCCGCTTTGGGTATATCACACATGTTATCATAAATTCACGAAAAGACAATTCTACGACATCCATATTCAGAATCGTACAGAGCTGAGATCTGTGCCTTGCGGAAGTGAAGAGAGAGTAACGTTCTAAATGAATTGCTATTGAGGAGAAGGTGAAAAGAATATGCCATTTCTCGATGCG